TACTTGGTTTTATTAAGTATTATTTTTAAATTTAAAAAACATTTGAGAGAGGGAACCAGCAGTTAGCATAATGGCTGTGTCGCTGGACTCCCTGTAGTCGACCGCGGTTCGCATCCCGGACCTGGTGGCTTAAAACTCACGCCGGGCGTGTGTGCGTGCGTGCCCAAGATCCCGAGAGGAGAATGGAGCAGAAGGGATTGCGGTGTGACCATCCCCCCTGGGGGGTGATTTCTTGCTTTCTGTCTCTATGTCTCTCTCTGTCTGTCTGGCGAGCGCACGTGCCCTATAGCGTAAAACCTCTGCAAAAAAAAAAAAAAAAAATTGAGAGAGATTTTTGCTATAGGGCATGTGTGTCCACTGGAGAGACAGAGAGACAGAAAGTGGAAATCACCCCCAGAAAGGATGGCCATGCCACAACCCCTTCTTTTCCATTCTCTTCTTGGGATTTTGGGCATGCACACACATATACCTGGTATGAGTTTTAAGCCTCCAAGTCCAGGACTTGAACCATGGTCAACTACATGGGAGTCCAGCAATGTAACCATTATGCCATCTGTTGAACCCTTTAATTATTATTATTTTCATTATTATTGTTTTTAATTTGTTATAGGGTACATGCACTCACCAGAGAGAGAGAGTGAAGTGAGAAAGGAAGTGGATATGTCTTAGGACTCAGACTGCAGTCAGCCATGTGGGAGTCTAGTGCCTTAACCACCATGCCACCTGATGGCCCCTATAGCTCAGAATTTCTAAATAAATATCATATGTAGGGGCCAGCCAGCAATACAGCAATAAAATGCACTGCTCCATAATATTGACCCCATAGAAAATTTTCAGGTTTGTGTCCACAGACCTCCCTGAGTACATAGGGCATGTCTGTGCCTGTGATCTGGGGCTGGGGTAGATGTGGTGTGCTGCTAGGATCCTGTTGTGGGATCTGTCTGTCTCTGAGTTGCTCATGGAGGAAATAAAATTTAAAAATAACACATGGAGGGCCTGCCCATGGCATGGTGGTTAAGGCAGCTGGATACCACATGACCAACAGGAGGGAGAAATGGAGGAGGGATTGCACCATCTCCATGGGAGGTGTTTTCTCACTCTTCCTCTTTCTATCTCTCTGCAAGCATACATGCATCCTGGCATATTAAAAACAAACAAAAAACCACATGGAACGCATTTCCTTTTTTTTTCTTTTTGAGAGGTTTTTGCTATAGGGTGTGTGGGCTCGCCAGAAAGACAGAGACAGAGAGAAAGCGAGAAATCACCCCCAGGGGGATGGCCACACCACAGTCCCTTCTCCATTCTCTAGGGATCTTGGTCATGCATGCACACGTGCCTGGCATGAATTTAAGCTACCAGGTCCAGGACTTGAACTGCTATCGACTACATGAGAGTCCAGCAACATAGCCATCATGCCAACTGCTGGTCTCATCCCTTTTAAAGTCTATAATTTTATTGTACCTTGAAACCTGAATATTCTATTGCCATGTTACAAAAATAAAGAAGCAAAACACCCCAAAACGCAAAGGAGATAGACATATTTAGGCTCACTGGACCATTGCAAGCATTCATACACATATTTTAAGGTGCATCCAAATGTTTATGAATCATATCTTAACAGACATGCAGGTCCCATGGCTATGCTGCAATCCCTTCTTCTCTTGAGATTTTGGGCAAATGGACATGCATCTGGTGTGATTCTCAAGGTGGAACTCAAACCATGGTCAGCCATGTGGAAGTTTAATGCATTAACCACCACACCACCTACTTCCCCTCAGGCACTCTTTTAGGTTTAAAAACCTAAAAGAAATGTTCCAAATAAAATGTGCAAACTATTTTGATATAAATTTTAAGATCAGGGGCTGGCAGGTGGCATGGTGGTTAAGGGTGCTGGACTCCCACATGGGCGACTGTTGTTCAGGTTCTGGACCTTGTGGCTTGTTTTCTCACTTTCTCTCTCTCTCTCTCTTTCTTGCTCTCACTCTGTCCCTCTCTGGTCAAATTAAAATAAGTAAATAAAATAAAGTAAAATAAAAAAAATTTTTTGAGAGGTTTTTGCTATAGGGCGCATTGCGCTCGCCAGACAGAGAGAGACAGAGAGACAGAAAGCGAGAAATCACCCCCCCAAGGGGGGTGGGCCCGCCCCCACACCCTCTCCCATT